AACTATTTGACAAATGGTTTTAAATTTTTATGACTCAAATGAAAATGAGATTTAGCAAGTATTAAATTTGGAACAGTTTCACTAGGATTTAGTAAATATTGTGTGGAAGGATTAAGATATTAATAAATTGTTTGTATATCTATTCAAAAATTACAAAATTATGAGTGAGAAATTCTTAAATTTTTGAGTGATGGGATGTAACAAATGATGTACTTAGTCAATAACAAAATTAAAATGGAATTTATTAATGTCCTCATTTTTTTTAGCACGATATAATCTAAATCTTGTTTAAATCCAATCTACTTAAAGTATGTTAGGAACAACTTTTTACTTGTTTGCTTTTCAGACCGCCACCACAGTTCTGTTTAGGGAACTACTTTCTTGTTGTTTTTTAGAAAATTTCATTGTAAAAAGTTGTTTTTTTCAACAAGAGCTGTTGAATTCTGATGTTTGCCAGAAAACTAAGATCTGACTTTTTGAAAATAAAATAAATTTTTAATAGTCACAGTAGCTGTTTGAAAACTAATTCTTCCACAGCAACTTGACAGTTGCTTCTTCAAACAACTACAACAGCACCAAACAAACTCTTAATCTTCGTTCATCCCAACTCATGGAAACCAACATAAAGTATTTAATCGTAGATGTATATAGTTAATTCATCATTGTTTCAATAAACCTTTCATGTTCATAAAACTTTGTACATATACATTTCCAGTTGGGCATGGGAAGTGCGTTGGAAACCTTGTGCGGACAATCCTTCGGAGCAAAGAAGCAACGCATGCTCGGCATACATCTACAAAGCGCCATGCTTGTCCTTATGACAGTCTGCATCCCCGTCGCAGTTGTTTGGACCTACACAGGAAAAATTCTCAAGGCAGTGGGCCAAGATCCAGAAATATCACTAGAAGCTGGCTTATATATTCGTTGGCTTATACCTGCTCTCTTCGCATATGGACTGCTTCAATGCTACATCAGATTCTTACAGACCCAAAACATTGTGTTGCCCATGATGATGGCCACTGCATTCACAACAATTGTTCACATTTTTGTCTGTTGGCTCCTGGTGTTCAGATCTGGCCTTGGATACAAAGGTGCTGCTTTGGCTAATTCCATCTCTTACTGGACCAATGTGTTCCTTTTGGTGCTCTATGTTAAGATATCACCATCTTGCAAAGAATCTTGGACTGGTTTTTCAAGAGAAGCTTTTCACAATACTATTTCCTTCATCAAATTGGCAATTCCTTCGGCCACCATGGTTTGGTAATTAGCATATTTTTATATTTTTCTTAGTGTCATTCTTTCATAAATTTTTAATTATTAGCATTATTAGTAAAGTCTTTCTTATTTTCTGCAGCTTGGAGTTCTGGTCATTTGAGCTCCTTGTTCTTCTTTCTGGTCTTCTTCCAAATCCAAAGTTAGAAACATCAGTTCTGTCCATCACGTAAGCACTAAAAATGGCTAATTACAAAAACTTCGTTTTTGTCATAACATATAATATTGTTAATAATTTTTTCCATTAATTATCAGACTTAACACAGCTGCAATGATATTCATGATTCCCTTTGGTCTCGGAGCTGCTGTAAGGTTAGCTTTGACTTGTGTTATACTCTAATGTTCGAGAAATTATTAAATATGGAGTACGCACGTAGCTCTGCGTGCGTAATTCCCAATAACTCATAATAACCCTGCGAATAACAACGAAATGAAACCGCGAAGAATATTGGAGTGTTATCATGGGGTTATTTCGGCGTTATTTGAGTTAATGCCCCAAGAACCTCATAAAATTCCGAGTAACAAATAAAAAAATATGAAAGTAGAACCGCGAAGGTTAATGAGGCGTTATTAGGGGGTTATTGAGAGATTATTAGAATTAATGCCGCAATAACCTCCCAATAACTACGAAATATGGAACCGCCGAGATTATTCAATAATTTCTACTAATGTCCTAGTGCAGTTATATGCTTAATTATTTCTAATATTTATTTATTTATTTTATAGCACACGTGTTTCAAATGAACTTGGGGCAGGCAATCCAATGGGCGCGCGTTTAGCAGCGCAGACTGTTATAATTATCGCCATATGCGTAGGATTGGTTGTAGCATTGGCCTTGATTTTAGTTCGGAATGTATGGGGATATGCATACAGCAATGAGTTGGAAGTGGTGAAATATGTTGCAGTCATGCTTCCAATTCTTGCAACATCAAACTTCCTTGATGGAATACAATGTGTGCTTTCAGGTAGAACCTTTTTTTCTTTTCTTTATTTTTGTTATTTATGTGGTTTAATATCTCATTAATATACGCCGCGTACTCAGACCAATAGGTCAGGCATCTGCTTGTCAGTTGTAAGTCATTTCTGGTCTGGGGTTCGATTCCCACCGAGTGTAGGGTGTTGTACTCGAATTCTTAAGCGCATGAGGGATGACCGGGGCTCGTATAGTAGCCTACGGTCAGTTCCTTAAAAAATATATATATCCCATTAATAGTTTTATTGGTGACATTGTAGGCATAGCAAGAGGTTGTGGCTGGCAAAAAATAGGAGCCTTTGTTAATCTCGGGGCTTATTATGTTGTTGGTGTTCCATCTGCAGTTCTGATGAGTTTTGTTTTGCATATTGGTGGAAAGGTTTGATTTTTTTGTGAAATTACCACCCAATTACTATGTATTCACATAACTAACACCTAAAGCTTGCATTTTTTGAGCTTGGCGTAAACCTTTTATTCGTTTTGTGCTACAGGGTCTTTGGATGGGAATTGTGTGCGCCCTCAGTGTGCAGTCTCTATCACTTTTAATAGTTACTTTATGTACTGATTGGGATATAGAAGTAAGCAACTTTGATCTCTTTACGATTAAGATATATATATTTATATTTATTTATTTATTTATTTTATTGAATAAAAGACATCTTTGATCTCTGTACAAGTAGGATATATATTTATATGCATTTATTTATTTATTTATTTTATTGAATAAAAGACTTATTTTTGTGAGTGATGTAATTAAGCTTTTTAATGCATCTTCATATCAAGTATTCAACTTTTGTTTCAGGCAAGAAAAGCAAGGGATAGAGTACATTCTGATTCAGTAGATTTGGTAGCATGAGATCGACATCAGAGGCAATTGCATATTTACCATTCAACATTGTGAAATACGTTGCTTGTTGAAAATACATACTATATATATATATAGTTTTTCATTTAAATGTACACATGTTATAAGTATAAAAAATTTCACATATAAATAAATCTGATGAAATTTTCAATTGATAGAATCGCCTCTTTATTATAGATTTAATTTGATTTCAAGGAATGATGATAAGATTTCTTTAATGGTTTAAAATGGATTAATGAAAAAGTAAATATAATGAAATCAAGTTTTTAACAAATTATTCAACCATTGATTCAAGCTTTTCAGACCAATTTTTAAATTTGCTTGCACTCAAATTTTTAGCATTTAAATGCAAGCTTAAAGATGGCATATCCTATATATCATAGTAGACTTTATGTGCTTGATATTTAACACACTGTGATTCCTTTGCCTAAAGGCATTTGTTTAGTGAGAGCAAGGGCCTTCATGGCCTTTATGGTAGGATAATATTCACTTAAATGTCATTTAATGTTGTGCATTTAGAAAAAAAAAAAGTTTTTGTATATATGTATGTATTTCATATTGTACATTTATTTTTCGTTCTTCTTTAAGTTGAACTTGGAAGATATGGTGGAAAAATCCAGGAAAAATGTAAGAAGGTTTAGTATAAGTTTAAAAATTAATAGAATCTTAGCACCAGTGTTTTTTTTTTCCTTATGGGTGTATTAAACAGTATTAGCCACATTAACTTTAGATAATTATTTAAAATATTTATGATGATTGCCTTTTGATTGAATATAATTTCACTACTTTTTTTTATCTACGGGTTTGAGTAGAATTTATGATTATTTGTTACTCTCTTTTAAAACATATTTCGAATTGAAATAAAATGAACATACAATTTATTTAAAATAAAAAAAAAACATTGAATTGATTAAAAATCCCATAATATCTAAAACCCTCTCTCAGTAGGTTAAAAGAAAACTTTGTATTGATCTTTGACATCAACTACAACAAGAGTCTATTGATCTTTGACATCAACTACAACATTAGTGAATCAACCTTGGTCAAGTGATAACATTACAAGTTTTATATCCTAAAATTAAATTAGCTAGCTAACCTCTCTTGAATTACATTAAAAAAATGTCATGATTTCAAAAATCTTTGCATTAAATTTAGATTTGACAAACATCCTCAATTGTGATGCTAAAAATCATTACAATAAATTTTGTAGTTCTCCAATGCTAACTCAAACATTAAAAAAAAAAAATCTCTTCAAAATGTTAATTGTCCAACATATAATATCTATGAGCATCATGATTTAATTTGAAATACCTAAGATGAATGTGAGACCCTTGGCCTTTCTTTTAGCACCATTAGTGATATTAACCTATGTGCTCTACCACTCACTTAGAAATCCCCCTTCTATGTCAAATAGAATAATTTTGAAATTCCATGTCACCTAGAAATTTCCCCTTATGCCAAAAGAGATAATAGAAACATCACCAAGAAAATTGTAGCACTGTAATAATCAAATCTACTTATTTATTCTTATTATCATCACCACTTTATGAGTAAAAATTAAACAATCAAATCATCAAAACAGCCAACCTACAACTAAATCAGCACAAGGAGAAAAAGGAAATCTCCAAAAAATAGCCGTTAAGGTTTGAAATTTCATTCCTTAACTGCGTTCAGATTCCGAGTAATATCACCAAAGATTTTCAGCCTTCCTTCATGGCGTTCAGATTCCGAGTAATATCGCTAAAGATTCTCAGCCTCTTGCCCATCTTCCCCTCCCCCATCACCTGACTTCCACAGCCGTCATTCTCAATCACAGGAGCCAGCACGGCCGCCAATATCGCCTCCTGGAACTCATCTTCCTCCGGCAAATCCGGCCATTTACCTCCGCCATTCTCAATTACAGGCTTCTCATTCAAAATCCCTGATCTTGTCCTCTTTAGATTTCCCAAGACCTCTTCCCGTTGCTTCTCAATCCTAATTTTTGAATAAAATGGAGGCGCGTCTATGTTAAGAGCATTTCTTGCGCTTAAGCTCTGTAAATTCTCATCAGCAAAGCGTTCATCATGGTGGTAGTCGATGCAGGGCTGTGGTTGCCAAATCAATGAAGACACTAAGGCTTCAAAGTAGTTGCTGGTTTGATTCGTTTTCTGCATCTTTGATTCAAGGTCACGAAGCATTTCTTGTGCTCTTTCGAAGGCTTTTAGATGGGAATCAGCACCTCGTAAGCCATCTCCAGCCAGGGCTGGCCTGACCTGCTTGAGAGTGGCACTGGCCTCTGCAACTCTGCCTTGTTTCATTAAACAGATTCCCAGATTGCACATCTTATTGTTGTCTGGACTTAACATTAGAGCTTTTCGGTATGCGGCTTCGGCTTCAGTATAGTTCTCCTTCTGCATCAGAGCCCAACCGAGGTTCCCCTGACATCAATTAATTTGAAGAGAGAACATGAGAAAAGAAAGAAGAAGAAGAAAAGAGCTGAAAAGATTTGATTTTTACCAGCAGATGAGATGGAATTGAAGGAAAAGTTTTGATAATTACCAGTAGACGAGTAGCTTCTTGGTCGATGGAGACCTGAAATTTCCTCCCCTGTGAGCGAGCAGTCTTGGTTCGTTTCCCATTGAAAGCTAGCCCCTGCTGTATCATGAGTAGCTTATGCTTTAACAGAGCGATCTGATCGTCCAGTCTGCCGCATCTCTGTTGCAGAAAATTAAGCAGCTGAGAAAAGGAATTCTGAGAGCGATAGAGAGATACATACTGAGAAAGCTAGAAAAACAGACCTTGTAAAGATCTAAAAGGATATTGTCTAAGGACTCCTGTGATTGATCAGAGCAGCGATTTCTCAATGACTTGATTGCTTCAATGGCTTCCTCAGATCGGTTCTGTTGCTTCATAACAATAGCCATGTCTTTGAGAGCACTGTCGACTCTATCTCCGGCATTGATTGCAGCCCAGAAGAGAGCGATAGCTCTCTCGGGATCTTTCTCGACAAGCTAAAATACACAAATCAAGAGGAATAAATTAAAAACTGATGCAAGTTTACTTCTGATGAAAGGAGAAAGTATGATGGGCACACCTGAACCCTCTTGGCCTTTACGTAAGGGGTATCTCCGACTGGCACTTTGTGGGCGACATGGAAAGCATCTGATTTGGTCCGGCCGATGGGTTTCAGAGGAGAAGAAGGAGCCGATTTTGAAAGCCTGGTTCCAGTTGGAGCCCCCATGCTCCATTGCGATTGCTGAAGAAGCATTTTCTTTAGCTCTGCAAATTATTATGGAGACCAATGCGAGAAAGTGGATGGGAGAATATGAGTATGTATGAGAGCAAGAGAGAGAGAGAGAGCAGGGCAACACGGAAGGAGAAAAGATGGGATTTTTAAAGGATTCGGATTCGACCGTTAGACAGGAACGTTGGAAAATTTGAGTATCCGCTTGGGGTATGCAACGGTAGGAAAGTTTGATATTTTGTAGGTTCGGATCCTATATTTGGTAAGGTAAAACTCCCATTTTTAAATCTGATTTCCCAACAATGGCGCTTTAATATATTTAAAAATCAATATTTTAGATTCTAAAATGAAAATTCTCTCAATGAAAAATAACAAAATTAAGTAAGAAATTATAGTATAGATTTATCTATTATTAAAGGCTTAATAATATATAACACTTGAAAGTACAAATTTATCAGCTTGCCAACTCAACAACACAAACTTGATCAAAAGATTGGGGCTTGGCAAGTGTTTGCTATAAATAGAGAAATATAAATGGACTTAAATGTATATAAAAATTTAAAATAGTTAAAAATGAGTAACTAAATGCATAGCAAATTTCTGGCCATCTATACATATGAAAAGAAAACAAATCCAATATATATACTAAACTTTATCACCTAGAATGATATGAGATCACTTGTTTTTCACTATATTATATCATCTGTTTGTTCATCTGGACATTCATAAACAATAACTTTTAGGGGTATTTACATACATATCATACAATTCTTTTGTATTTACATTTCTAACACCTAAACACTCATTTTTGCATACCATCCAAGACTTTGGCTTCACATCAAAATTACTGTCATAATTATCTTTTTAAAAGTAAAATGCTCATTTTCATGCATAAATTTATAACTGTTGAATCCAAATTTGTCATGTAAATCATGCAAGGAACATAGCTTAGAAATCGAGAGAGAGAGAGAGAGAGAGAGAGAGTGTGTGTGTGTGGTCTGACGCTGCAATTGCTCTCAGCAGAGCAAAATGGGGGTGCTCTTCGGGCTCTCAGACCCGTTTTTTATATTGAAGAAGTGATTGAAATAGAAGGGGGAAAACGATGCCTAAATAGCTGGAAAGCCCAAATAGCCTAAGGCCTCCTACTCGAAAAAATATCCTCCAATTTATAGATTATAGAAGGAAAGAAGTGTAAGAGTTATATCATTTCCCTTGAGTGTTAAAATTTATTATGCCCCTAAGAGTTACCAGTTATTATTTTCACTAAAGTTACAAGTTATTATTGTCTCTATTGACACATTTTCGTAAATAAGACACATTTTTGTATGTCTGGCATATTTTCATTGTTGAATTCAACCAACGATGCGGTTGGCCAACCAATGAGGTGGTCGACAAGTCTTTGTTACCTCGGCTCTCATCTAATCCGTGCTTGCATTTTTCGGACATATATAAATGCCTACATGTCTCTTACTTCATGGAAATGAAGCTGCAATAAGAATAAAATATTTTGAATGCCAAAAACACAATCAAAATAATGCAATAATTATGCTCTCTTGATTTCAAGGTTTTTTAGCACCATATTTTCTTTAGCCCCGGAGTGCTCTTCTAACGCTTTTCAGGTTAATTTTTGATATGCGTTGCTGGTCATCTAACTAATCTTTGGCTGGTTGAGGCGACCTGTGGTCGGTCTTATTGGTTTCGTCTTTGTTTTAGCATTTCCCCTTTATCGGACAACTCATTTACTATAGTTGCTCGGTGACGACTGTTGGCATTGATTGATTTGCTCGCTTTAGAGGGGAGTCTTTAATTTGCTCGCCCCAAAGGGAGTCTTTGATTTGCTGGCTCCAGAGAGGAGTTTTTGATTTGTTCGCCCCGGAGTGTAGTCTTTGATTTGCTCCCTCTAGAGGGGAATCTTTGCTTTTCTTGATCGGTTAGAATTTCTCGAGTGTTGACTTATATCAAGATGCCTGTGAACATTTTAAGTTCCTCATGTCTCTGTCAAACCTAGAAAAATAAAATATGATTGGAGTGTTGTACATTTAAATCTTCCTTGATTTTAAAATGGTCGGCCAAATTCATATAGCCAACTGGAGGCAGGTGATCGGTTGGAAGCAAGCGGTTTGCTGAAGCACCAATCGACCAGAGCAGCTGGAGGGTGGCTTGCTAGAAGCACAAACAAATTGAGCGGTATGTATGTGAACATACAAATACATAAGAATTAAGTAGTATCCATGTAAATGTTCCCTGATTTTGAGATGGACTAGAGGAAGGTGACCGGCCGGAAGCAAGTGGTCAACTGGAACAACGATTAACCAGAGGGTGGCTTGCTAGAAGCACAAATGAATTGAGTGGTATGTACCTAAATATGCAAATATATATGAATTGAGTGGTATGTATGTAAATCTTTCTTAATTTTGAGTTGGTTGGTTGGGAGGCATACTACCAGCCAGAAAGTAACCAACTAGTAGCAGGTGGCCGGTCAGAGCAGTGGTCATCTAGAAGGACCGGGAGGCATGATAAGGAGGAAGAGGCCGGTGAGGCGTGGAACAATATACTGTAAGAATGACAGGTGGAAGTGTCCAGCCTGCATACAGTCGTTTGGTGGAGATATTGTTGGTTGAATATACAGTTCAACCGAGAAATTTCTAGTCAAATGAGAACTAGTCGGTCCAGCCCACTGGGTGATCGCCCCATAGATAGAATTACCGACCGAAACTGGGGATTTCGTTGGGATATTTGTCATATGAAGAAGATTCTGATGAGTGCTGGCAATATCTTGGTAATATTACAAAATCTCTGCTCTCATCATCGGACACAATCCTTATCAGGAAACTCATGCAGCACTGCAATCAAATTTTTCTATTTTTGCTGCCTAATGATCGTCCTTAGTTGCGAAAGCAGATCATGTATTACTTCAGGCACGGTGGTTGTCCTGCATAATAAAAATTGTAGCGAAATTGGGACTCATACAAAACCAAAGCCTTTAGCAGGGATCAGACGTTTCATCTAATGGGCAAGGGCCTTGTGATGAAGGAAGATCTGCCCTTGTGACTTTGGGGATCAATGGTCTCAGGATATGGAGTCTAAAATAACAAGTTCATAGTAGTAATGGGCTGTCAGAGGGACTTATTTATTTACATATCTAATATAAATTTCAATATTTATTTGTATAACACATTTATGTGATATTGTGAAAATTGCGAAAATTGCTTGAAGTTATTATAAATGTCAAAATTTAAATATTATGTATGCATATACATAGAAGTTACATGGTATTTATGTAACCCTCGCTCATAAATTTAATGATTTTGGGGTTTATCCTGCAAAAAAAAAAAGAAAAATTATACTACATTACCTTTGCATGAAATTGCATATTACCCCTTTTAAAAATAAAAATAATGATATTTTTATATAACATAAAAGATATGGGTGTTATAAAATATAAAAAGCAAAGTTTAGATGTTACAAATGCAAATACATGTTTACATATGTTACAATGTAAATACATAGGTTAATATGATGGATTCTAAAGTTCATGAAGATGTCACTGAAGTGCAGATAAAATTATCAATATTGTATAATTCATAAATATTTTTTAGCTTATGGATTTCAAAAACTTGTTTTTTTTTTTAAACATTTTTGAAATAAAAAGGAAACCAAATCATACCCTCACTGCATTTAGAATGAAATTGTTCTTACCGTCCTCTTACCTTTTCGAGAAATATTTGCGTACGTAGTACGCACGCAGAGCTACGTGCGTAAAACCCCACAATAACCTCCGCTTCGCGATTATTAGAGGGTTATTGAGAGGTTATTGAGTATTAATTCCAATAACCTATAACCTTAATAACCTTTCAATAACCTTCACGGACTCTATTTTGATGTTATTCATAGGTTATTATGAAGGTGTTGCGGGGGCAATGGAATACGCACGCAGAATCGGCCCCTGCCAATAGAGCACCAAACCTAAATTGTTCTCATGGTAATTAAAAAAAGAAGCCCATTACATCAATATTTTAACATTCAGATATTTAACTCATAAATGGCAAGTGATACAACAAAATTACAATGTATTTAACGGTAACTGTGAGAATGCATGCTGGTCTACATCGAGGCTTTTCAAGTTACTTATGAACAAGAATGGATAAGACCCAATGAACCTGCAAATGGAACAAAAAATACAAAAAATTTTAGTCTTTAACATAGTGTCTGCTCATTATTATTTTATCATTAACTTAATTTAGAAATCAACATGCTAAACACACTTTTATACAACTTGAACGAATCAATGGCCACATGCCTGAACTGGTTTGATTGTAAAATTTCAAAACTATAGAACCCACAAATCATGGTAATTAGCAATATAATCAATCAATTTCATCAAAAATGTCAAAGTCTTTTATTTAATAAGCATTGTAGGTATAGTTTAATAAATTTTAAACACTTACAATGTTGTTATTGGGATTTCTCCAGTAAAATCCTTGAAGAACAATGACAGCAAGGTTGGATGGCACAAGAATGAAGATGCTCAGAGAATGTCTACCCATCCATTCCAAAATACATGTGAGGCCACGGTGTTCCCCAACATCCACCTGTTTCCACACCCAAAAACTGTAAGCAAAAGTGAAATCCCAAATAAGCACTAAAATTTCATTAAAAAGATTTTTTATTTTGAAACGTCGAAGTTATCGACAACTTCGACGGTGTGTAATCCTCAAAGTAATAAATTCCTCTGCAACTCTGTGGACGTAGGCAACTTGTCGTACCTATGTGTTTCTGTGCTATCTGTTTTACGAATTTCTCATTCCAGTTTTTCGTTTTATTGCCGTCGTTTTTTCAACAACTTCCACCAAAGAATATCGGGAAATATTTGCATTTGGACTACGCACGCACAGCTGCGCGCGTAATAATCTCTCAATAACCTCCGTTTTGCGGTTATTAGGGGGTTATTGGGTGGTTATTAATATATTAATTTCAATAACATATAACCTTAACAAACTTCCAATAACCTTGGCAGGTTCTATTTCGATGTTATTCATAGATTATTATGGGGGTAATGCGGGGTTAATGGAGTACGCACGCAGAGCTGCGCGCGTATTCCGTATGCAAATATTTCCCAAGAATATCAATGAAAAACAACACATCTGAGTACTATAATCTACCATAATTACTGTCGTAACAATATATTGTAATAAACTGTTTTTTATACTAATTTCAAAAAAGTATTCTCCAATTGTCCAAACCAAAGCTACCCGCATTAGATTCATTTTCACTATCGCTAGTTTCCATAGGACTTACCAGAAAGTACAAAGCACAAAAAGTGAGGCCAGCTGAGCCTGTTGTTAGAAGAGCGTAACTGATAGTGTATAACTGTTTGTTCAGGGGATCACCTACAAAAAGGTGGCATTTCAGCATCTTTTAAGTGAAGACTGCAGAAACGAAGTGCAAAATTAATGTATTTAGCTAAAGCAGAAAATAATACATGTCGAACTCACCTATAAGATTAAGAAATAAACCAAATGAGAAAATTGAAACTGAAAGTTGCAACCAAAGTTTGAAGCGATCCTTATGTTCCTGAGATATTCATAAAAAAATGAAGTTTCGTGAAGATTAATCACTCACAACAATAGTTAAAAGAGTTCATTTGTCCGGATGAAAGATGAGCAGAAATTACTGCTAACCAAAGGATAGCAGACAGAACAGAAGAGGGAAGATGCAATAGAAAAGAAAATAATACAGTATAGGGATACATGAAAGATCAAAAATAAGCACAACTGAAGTGGGTATAATAAGACAATTTGCAACGACCTAACTCGGGAGCTTAAAATTTACTGAAATGGAAACAAAGTCAGATGATAGATATATCAACCTTGACATTTACAACAATCCAAAAATCATCCAAACAATTGAGAGTCACTGAATATCAATATTTCTAAAACATCATTTGAGCACATGTAAAAATTCTCAATTTGCAACAATCATTTTTTAATAGAAAACTCAGAAAAAGATATAATGTTTACTTGTTATCTATTTTTTAGTAGTTTATCGTCTTAAGAAATTAAACTCTCAAAAACCCCTCCACTTCGCGGTTATTATGGGGTTATTGAGAGGTTATTGAAGTATTAATTCCAATAACCTTCACGGGTTCTATTTCGATGTTATTCATAGATTATTATGGGGGTAATGCGGGGTTAATGGAGTACGCACGCAGAGCTGCGCGCGTATTCCGTATGCAAATATTTCCCAAGAATATCAATGAAAAACAACACATCTGAGTACTATAATCTACCATAATTACTGTCGTAACAATATATTGTAATAAACTGTTTTTTTTACTAATTTCAAAAAAGTATTCTCCAATTGTCCAAACCAAAGCTACCCGCATTAGATTCATTTTCACTATCGCTAGTTTCCATAGGACTTACCAGAAAGTACAAAGCACAAAAAGTGAGGCCAGCTGAGCCTGTTGTTAGAAGAGCGTAACTGATAGTGTATAACTGTTTGTTCAGGGGATCACCTACAAAAAGGTGGCATTTCAGCATCTTTTAAGTGAAGACTGCAGAAACGAAGTGCAAAATTAATGTATTTAGCTAAAGCAGAAAATAATACATGTCGAACTCACCTATAAGATTAAGAAATAAACCAAATGAGAAAATTGAAACTGAAAGTTGCAACCAAAGTTTGAAGCGATCCTTATGTTCCTGAGATATTCATAAAAAAATGAAGTTTCGTGAAGATTAATCACTCACAACAATAGTTAAAAGAGTTCATTTGTCCGGATGAAAGATGAGCAGAAATTACTGCTAACCAAAGGATAGCAGACAGAACAGAAGAGGGAAGATGCAATAGAAAAGAAAATAATACAGTATAGGGATACATGAAAGATCAAAAATAAGCACAACTGAAGTGGGTATAATAAGACAATTTGCAACGACCTAACTCGGGAGCTCAAAATTTACTAAAATGGAAACAAAGTCAGATGATAGATATATCAACCTTGACATTTACAACAATCCAAAAATCATCCAAACAATTGAGAGTCACTGAATATCAATATTTCTAAAACATCATTTGAGCACATGTAAAAATTCTCAATTTGCAACAATCATTTTTTAATAGAAAACTCAGAAAAAGATATAATGTTTACTTGTTATCTATTTTTTAGTAGTTTATCGTCTTAAGAAATTAAACTCTCATGTCAATCATTTAATTCAAAGAATTTTTTGTTATAATAAACATTTAAACAACAAGCCATATAACAATTTAGTGAATAATTATGATCCTGTAATGTATTAAATTTTTGTATGTATATCTAACACACATGCTTTTCAAAAATGATTAAATATATTAAATTTTGGTTTCATCAAAACTTTTAAATATTTGCATTTAAATTAAGAAGTTATCTCAAGAGCACAATCTAAAATATTATACCGACTAGAGTACATCCAGTTCCATTTCCATTTCATACATTTTTATTTTCATTTTTGTGCATGAATACAATAATGTTCCCAACTAGTACCATAAGAGGGTGACTCATTTGATTGACTTGTACATTTATTTTATTTTATTTTCATTTATTAACTTTCAATCATTAAAACGTATGTTAAACTGCAATTCTTTTAAAACATTAAGCATTAATTTAATTATTTAGATATTATCATAATTTTAATGAGTATACTTTAAGATTTCAAAATTTTGGATGATCGTGAAGAAGCAAATTCTATGTGGGATAAAGAAACAAACACTTTTAAAAAGATGGCAAAAGTTGTGTTTGAAGAATCAAAAGAAAAAGTTTCTATCAATAAAAATAGTTAGTGGTGGAATAATAATGTGCAAGAAAAGATAATATATCAGAAACTATGTTATAAAAATTAGTTTAAATGTAAAATCTTAGAGAACTTGGAAAAAATATAAATGCCCCATAAGGAGTCTAAGAGAACAATCTATGACGCTAAAAATTATGCTTCTAGTGATCTTTATAATATATTACATACTAAAGAGGGTGAAAAATATATGTATAAACTAGCCAAACAAAAATAAAATAAAAGTAAAGATTATAATCAAGTAAAATGTATCAAAGAAAAAAATCAAAAAGTGTTTTTCTTAGAAAAAGATATTCAACATAGATGAGTGAGTTAATGAGTTGAGTGAGTTATTTTGATAAACTTTTTAATAAAGTTTTTAAAAATAAGATCGACCATAGTGATCTTAATATCGTTCACAATAATAAAATGTTTTATTTTTATCGTTGCATCAGTAAAAAAAAGAAGTCGATGAAGCTTTAAAGAAAACCAAAAGTGAAAAGTCTGTAGGACCTGATGATATCTCAATAGAAGTGTGAAAATATATAAGAGCTTTAGGAGTTTCTTGACTTAACAAACTCTTTAATATTACTTTGAAAATAAAAAGATGCTTGAGGAGTGGAGGCAGAGTATTTTGGTCCCCTTTTTTAAGAATAATGGGGATGCACACGAGTGTGCAAATTATAGAGGAACTAAGTTGATGTGTCATGCTTTAAAATTATGAGAGAGGGTAACTGAACATATGTTAAGACATATTTCAAAGATTTCTCATAATTAATGTGGATTTATGTCGGGCTGGTATACTATGGAAGCTATAGATTTATTGAGAGGTTTGACAGAGAAGTTCAAAGAGAATAAGGATGATCTACATATGATTTTTATTGAAGTAGAAAAAGCTTACGATAAGGTTCCATGAGATATCCTTTGGAGAGTTCTAGAGAAGAAAGGTATTGATATGACTTAAATTTAAGTCATTAAAGATATGTATGCTAGAGCTGTTACTTGTGTTCGAACAGAAGGATTGACCAAATATTTTCCTATTTCAGTTGGATTATATCAGGGATCGACTTTAAACCCATATGTTTTTGCTTTAGTTATGGGTGCTCACACTGGACATTTACAGGAGGTTGTAACTTGGTGTATGTTTTTCGTTGATGATATCCTTCTCATGGTTAAGACTAGAGAGAAAGCTCAAGAAAAACTTGAATTATGAAGGTCAACAATAGAGTCTAAAAGCCTTCGTTTGAGTAGAACTAAAATTGAATTTATGGAATGTAATTTTAGTAGTGGTAGCTCTAGTGACAGAGTTGTAATTATGAGTAATCAAATTATTAAAAAGTGTGAACGCTTTAGATATCTTTGGTCTACTGTTTAAAGTGATGGTGATATAGATGGGGATGCTATTAGTAGAATTCAAGTTGGGTGGGTAATGCATCAAACTTATTGTGTGATATAAAAGTACCTTTTAGACTGAAAGGAAAATTTTATAAGATAGTGGTGAGACCTGCAATGCAATGCAATGCTCCATGACACTAAATGCTGGTCTTTAAAAGAGAAGCATAAAACTAAGTTAAGTGTTGCTGAGAAGAGAATTCTTAGGTAGATGACTGGATTTACACTTAGAGACAAAATGCGAAATAAATATACCCGTGATAGGGTTGGTGTAGCTCCAATGCAGAAAAAATTAAAGAAAGTTGTCTTACATGGTTTGGTCACATTGAACGTCGACCATCTGATGATCCGATTAGGAGAGTGGGTGGGTTGGGTTGTTTTAGATTCGACTTATGTTAAGAAAGATAGAGGTAGACATGGAAAGACTTGGGCATATTGTATAAAAAATGATCTAAATTTATTAGAATTAAATGAAAATATGATACTCAATGGGACGCAACAGAGAAAAATGATTCATGTAGCTGACCCCACTTAGTGGGATAAAGGTTTTTTGTTGTTTCAAAATTTACTTTTTGCAAACATGAATAAATTTAAGATTACAAAAATTAAATTTAGTTCATGAAAAAGATAATTACTCACTTTACCCTTTGAAAATTCTCCTTTCTATTTACTATCTACAAACATAAATCAAAATACTATATTAAAGTCAAATTTCTTATTTTCATCAATTTTAATTTCCTATATCTTTAATTTCATTAAGCTTATTGACATAGGAGCCGTCCCACAGTGGTGCCATCCGCGACCCCGACTACAGTGCCGCGGAAGATCGTGACTCGGATCGATCCAAGAGGGCCAACTGACACTTTCTATATCTAGATTTTCCTCTTATTTGAAGTGAGATACACTTCTATTCACACAAAGTCTACAAATATGTTTTTTTTTTTTTTTTAGGGCAGTTTAGTTCAGTCTTCTATCATGACAATTATCGACATCTAGGTTTTCCCTTCTAAGGTTATATCTGAAGATGAGAAGACGCTCTGGTTGTAACTCATCCTGAGGTAGTGTTTATCTATTCTCCCCATATTTCCCTACCTTCATCCTAGCTGCCTGATCTGTTGCCACCCCTGCTGTGTTCTGACTCCCTTCCCACTAATGTCCAGCCGCCAACCACACCTCTCAGATACTGCCTGCTTGCTACTACTCCTTCCTAGTCACATTCCTCGTACTACCAACCTTCCACCACCCTGTCACAACCTTCTTTCTACCGCCACACACCCCAGCCTTAATTGCCATCCAGTTTCCAACACCCCGCACCTAACAACAACCATCGTCTTCCCTGTTGCTGCCATCCTTTCTCAAGCCGCAGCACCACTCTCTTCGACCCATGCCCTAATTTGGTTTTGTGTTTTGTGTCTTTGTTATTTCTTATTTTGGTGTGTGTTTGTTGCAACATATATTCTTTCTCGTAATAAAAGTTGCATTTTTCATTGTTGTTTGGTTAACTCAACTATTATTTGGTAGCAGAGCTAGTCTAACCCTACTAGCATCTTCCAACCATTCCCCTACACTAAAATCTTTCCTTTTGCTAAATTTTCAATCCGGCCAACCAAATTTTTTTTTCCCAAACTACATTATCTCAATATAGCGCATTTCACCTACCCAAATCCCAACTACACTGCCAAGAAGGTAATTGTTAGAGCCTAATCGGGAATTTACCATGTATGACAAACAACGGCTACTCAGAGAAGTGCTACAACTGTTCGATGCCATTAAGGAAAGAACTCAGGGCGGGACCACCGTCGACCGTAATAGTGACATCCATGAAGGAGAGCAAGAAGACAATCTAAGAGATGATTTCAAAGGAGGGAGGATCAAACAATCATTTTGTGATACAATATCAAAGGAAACTAAGAAATGAGATATTAGTTGGAAGATACATAGATGAAGTGCTTGTTAGAGGATACCGAGACTTGGGAGTAAAAGTGGACCTACTGACATTTGAGAGGAGAATAGATTTAGATGATTTCTTCAAGTGAATGCATACTGTTGAGCGGATATTTGAATTTAAGGAGGTATCCAATAACAAAAGAGTGAAGCTCGTCGCTATCAAGCTGAAGAAGAATATTTTTTTGTGGTGGGAGAACCTGAAGAGGGAGAGAAGTAGAGAATGATGAGACATAATCACTTCTTGGGAGAAAATGAAGAAGACAATGCAGCAACAATACCTACTCCCGCACTATTGCCAAGATATTTTCTTGAAATTCCACTACCAATAGAAGGAGCTATCAGTGGAATACACAACAAAATTTAAGCAACCTAAATTTAAGTGAGTTGAAGGAGCTAGAGAAGCACACAATGGCCCAGAACTTAAGAGGGGCTAGAAGCCAGCCATGAATAATATGGTCCAACTGCAACTCTATTGAACATTGAGAGACGTGCAGACATTAACACTAAAAGTGGAGAGACAACATAAATAGAGTAGGCAACCATCACCAGTCAAACTGCCA